TAACACTTTTTTTTTATTGCCACAATTTTTCTTCCTTTATTGTCGACTTTGAATACATAAAAAAGCATAAAAGAAAGTGACAATGGGGTTGGCGGATAGAAAGGTTATTTAATTGCCAAAAGAAAAATAAGAATAATAACCATTGAGGATGAGGAACAACAGGAAAGAATTGTTCAAGAAGTGAAAATTGTTTTATCTTTTTTTACTCCTTTTTTCCTTATTTTATTATTTTCATTTGCTTTTTTGGAAATGAAATATAAATAAATGCGTATTCAAGGGGTTGAGTCCTTGCGCTTACTGACGAGATGATGCTGAGTTTTACTTTTGTTTGCTCGAGTAACTGTTATGTCAATCAGATGCTGTCTCAGACTTGTCTTGAACTCTGGCTTGAATTGATGGCTCTGCAGCAACTAGTCTCAAAGCTATTCCACCATTGAACCTTATAAACTCACAATACAATTGCCAGGCAATTTCCCATGACTTTATAGTCCAATCATTTAATTACCTTTCATTCCAACCACATCTTATTTTCCGCCAATTCACAAATCCTCAAAAAGCAAAAAAAAAATATATTCTTTTCAAAAACATCAAACGAGTATCAATCCCTAATACTTAAATAGATTCCTTAAGTAAAGATACCAAAATAAATTCAAGAGGAAGGAAAAATGTAAAGGAGCGGACACAAATTTTCAAAATAAAGAATGAAAGCGACACAAAGATGAACACAATAATAATAATAATGAGTGTAGCAGAAGCAGCAGGTTAGGTTGTTAAAGATAAGAACAAAAAAATTCTTCCTTCCATCCAAACTCGGAAAGGAAAAGAAATGAAAAAAAAAATTGTTTAATTTAATTTCGTATCGCCGCAAGGATGTTTTTATATCTCTTTTCTGTTCCTCCGACTCCTATTTGTGAAATGCTTTTGGATGGATTTTCTGGTTGCCATGAGATTCTTTATTTGTTTCTTCTGGGCATGAAGAGACGTTAAGAATGTGATTGTGCTGTGTTTGTCAGTCTGACGAGTGTGTTTGGATGATGAATTGATTGTTTGTGGATCTTTAAAGGTTGCATGGGATTTTTAGTGGTTTTCAGGATGAAGTAATTATCAGGAATACTTACCTGCTTTGCTGTCTGTGTAATTAATTTTTTTGTTTTTATGTCAAATTTTTGATCATTGAATTGAATTTCATTTAATTAATTTGTTTTTTGACTTCAATCCACTTTTGGAGGTGCTTATAAGACTGTTCTTGACTAGTATAATGGTTTGGTGTTCCTGATAGGTAAGTATGACTACTAATTCAATGAATGGTCAATACTTTGATGTTTACTGATCTGATATAGACCATTTTTGGATGCTAGGTCTTAAGAATCACATCCTAGCGTTACAATGCTGCATTTGGCAGTTATACTTCTGGTATCGATCGGGTTTTTGCATTAAAAATCCTTAGATCATTCTCGTCATCTATAAAATTCTCAAGCAATCCTTAAACTCCCATAATATCTTCAAGGCATTTGATAGAAATATATCCACATTTATTGGTAGAAAGGTAGCTTAGTTTAGCCAATTTTCCACTTGACTGCGAGTCTTCATCCACATTTTTTTTGCAACTAAGTTTTTTTTTTATTATTTTATTTTTACTTCAACTGAAGAACTTGAAAGGAAATCGATTATCATTTGAGGAGATTAATGTTTGATGTTGTTCTTTCCCTTTGTGGATTATTTTCATCAACAGAGAATTTTTTTTTCTCAACGTTGTTTTTCTTTTTGCAATATTTGAAGTGACATGTGACCAACGAACCAGAAAGAAAACACACAAAAAAATCACCCGAGGCAATGCTGAACACAAAAATTGAATTTTTTCGTATCACATTTCACATTTTTTTTTGATGGTTTTTTTTTATCTAAGGAAGATGAAAAGTAAATTCAATTTGTGGCTTTATCAATAATAAAGACAACAGCAAGCAGTAGCATCAACAATATGTTGGAATTTTTCATGTTTCATGCAAAAATTCCAACTTTGTGGTTTTTACTTTCTGACTTGAAATAATTAAGATGAAAATATTTTTTGTGTAAAATTCTTTTAAACAATGTTTTGGGGTTAGGTGTGTTTTGGTACATTGTTCTAAATTGAATTGTACATGCAAGGATAGAGACTTATAGTACGTCTAATTTATGGATTATGCTCTTATTGTGTTTATCCTTTAAGTTGAAACAAACGTTTGTCAGAAAGTCTTTGAAAATTGAAATTTAAAGTCAATGAACTTATTAATTAAAGCAGTTGAGTGCCTTGCTGGTCGAATATGCAAGGCGTTTGACTCAAATTTGATATGTTAACTCGAAGGTCGTCGGTTCGAATCCAGTCATTTCCAAATTTGAACTTTTTCAGAAGTTTAGATACTTCGACTGCTTAATGTACGAGATCAAGCCATAATTGGACATTTGGGCAACGTTGGATTTAGAAACAAGTAAGAAACTTGAAGTGTAGCAGAAGAAATAGGAACTAGAGCTACAAGACTACCTTATAATGAAATATTGTCAGAACAGACCTGAAATGCATCACTTCACGCCCATAGAAGATTGAAACAAAAGCCTGAATTTAATCAAAACCTAGATTTGAAGATTGAAAGCTTGATTCTACATTATCCATAGTGATATGAAATCTGGAAGCTGGAATATTGATCCAATCCAGCTTCAATACTCTACAAAGCTGAATCTTTATCGCTTTTCTGAATCTTCACTAATGCAATCCAATTCAAAACCCATCAAAACTCTCCAAAATGATCCCCACTTACCCATTAAATACTTTAAACTTACAAAATTCCACAACATTATTTCAATATAGTCAAAATTAATTACCATTTATGCCATATCCATCCCATTCCCCATTTCTACAACAATAAAGTATCTCATTCATTCATTTCAGTCCATTCATTTCGTATGCATATTTATGTGGATGTAAAATTGTAAAACTTTCATGTTTATAATTGTAAAATTGATTCCATAAATTTACTGACAAATGCAATAAAAATGTGTAATGTCATTCAAAAAACTAAAATTGTTGGACATAAAATGGAATTTGTATAAATGTCTCTTCAAATGAATATGTTTATGTGTATGTTGAGGATGTGGACATGAATTTATGTTTAAATGGTCAACTGTTTGTGAAGCAAATGAGAGTTTTTTTTGTTTTGGTTTTTTGATGCGTGGCCTTAGAATGATTTTTTGTGGATTTTTTTAATGACTTTAGGTATGAACTTCTTTCATCTTTAAGATTTGTTGACCTTAATTCATCAGAATTAAATATTTTTCGAACCATTTCAATCTACTCAGTCGTAGCTACATCACAGATTGACAGAAGCTTATTCATGAAAGGAACCTGGAATTATTTGAGCTTGAGATGTACACCAAATATGCTAGACTCGCTTATAATTCAATGTAATGGATTTAATAAGCAGTTTAATATAGGAATCGAACCTACGTCCTCACAAAATAGAGTTACAAATATTAATCAATCCTATTCATGCCTTAAAACATTAGATTCTACTTCTGATGACCTTAAAAAGCCCCACCTTACCCCTCTTGCACTTAATAACCTCTTAAATAAGAATCAAAACTCCCACAAGGAACAACTTCTATTTCCAGCTTCAAAAAAACACACAACAGCTTGTACATAAATAAACGAAGGTAGCAGCAGACAAACCGACTATCCAAAAGAGGCGTTAATGAAAAACTTTTTTTTTTGTATCCATGATTTGTTCATCCCCAAAAAATAACTTTTGTTGTTGCCAGTTTTTTTTTGTTGTTACATTTTCGTCATTGATTTATGTTTTATGTTTATTCACTAAATTAAAGACTTAAATATTTTTTTTGTGCTGCTGTATGTCTGTTTGGTCGTCCCTTTTGAAACCACGAAAATGTACATTTTGAATTTCACAAACAAAAAAATTAAATTTTATTTAAAAAAAAATATTCCACCCTACAATTTGAATTATTGTTGCTTAAGTTGACATTGTTGACCCTTTTTAAGGAGATAAAATTTGTTATTTTATATTTGCTACAATTTATTCATATTATAACTATTGTTATTTTTTTTATCTGCTCAATTTAGAATGAGAAGGGAATGAAATTGAGGTAAGGGGCCGTTCACTTATTACGTTCGCATTTTAGGGGGGAGGGGGGGTTTGAAAAATTGTAACAAAATGTAACATAGGGGGGGGGGTGTCAAGAAGTATGTAACGTTCTAACTGTCGTCTGTCTTTAAAAAAAAAGTTCACGAAAAAAATTATGAACGTTCAGGGGGGGGTTGTGAGTTGTAACATATTGTAACAAGGGGGGAGGGGGGGGGGGGTGAAAAAGACGTTTTTTTGCGTAACGTAATAAGTGAACGGCCCCTAAAGTGGTTGGTTCAAACTTTAATTGATACGGAACGAATTTCTTAAATGTCCTTAAATATTTTGAGGGGGTCTTTTGAATTTTATTATGTTATTTAAATTAAGCTCGTTAAAATTTAAATTTTCAAAATCCGTTGAAATTTTAATTTTCAAAATCCGTTTAAATTCAAATTTATTGCAGTCGTTAAGTTTTTGCAACTTATTATGAAATTATTGAACAACGATAAAATATTCAGTTAAGTTACACTTCATTGCATACATACGAGGTCATACGATAACTTATTCATTTGTATGTGTTGTTTCACTTTCATGTTCAACTGCGCTGTTCATTTTTTCAGAACATTTATTTTGTTTGCCGGAATAAGTTGTGCAAAAAAATTTTTGTAACAAATAAATCAAAAACTGTAATTTAAATTATTTTAAGATAGTGAGAAACTACAAAAGAACTTCAAAAGAACAATAAAATATTCAATAATGGGAAGTAAGTTGATTAATTTTGAGCTAATTGAAAGTTTAGAGAAAAATTAAGGAATATTGTGAAATTCTTTGACATAATTGAAAAACTTGTGAAATCGCAATTGATTGACAGTTTGACATTTTCTATAAAAAGAAGGTAAGAAGAAAGGAAACAAGCCGGATGACCAAGGAAAGACTTCAAATCAAGCCGATTCTGCATCCAAATCCACATCTGATGAACAACAGGAAAAAGAAGATCAAAAATCCCAACAACAACAAGATAAACAAAAGGAACAGCTGCTTTCAGTGCAGTCTAATAAGGTAATGAGTCACACAAATTATTGAGTCATAGAAATGAAGGCTTATCATGAAATTTGAGTATAAAAATAACTTAATGTACCATGTAAAAAAGTTTTGAGATTTATTTCTGTATATTTTGATTTGTAAGCTCAAATATGCTGGATATTTTTTTCAATGATGTTGGAGCTAGCTGTAGACAAAGCAATAATTAAGATTTTATTTTATTTATTAAAAAGCAGCCTACAGAAGTTGATCATCAAGATCCAGGAAATTCGATTCAACTTTCATCACAACAATCAACCGTTCAAAATCAACAAGCAGCTAAAATGGAGCCTTTGAAACAGACTGGAAAGGTAATTTGTAAATCCAGAGCTTTAAGTCTTGTTTAAAATCGATTATGAATCATTTTAAAATCATATAACATCTTTGTCGGCACTTAAACTGATAAAAAAGTACTAAAATAATCAATCGCATCTTGATACCATTTATTCCTATTCAACCAGGGTAAGCAGAAGGATTGGGCATGCATCAAATGCAATAAAATGAACTTTGCAAAGAAAAATATCTGTAAGGATTGTAATGAACCAAGGCCTGCACCTCCTGAACCACCAAAAGAAATCCCACAAGAGCCACAAACCTCAAATCAAATAGTGCCTAGCTTTAGCAGCCTGGATATCTCAAAAAGCGAAATTGAGACAAGTTCCGAAGCTAAAAAGCTTTATGAAGGCACTCGGGGAAGAAAATGCAGAGTTGAAGTGAATTATGTGGAACTGAATTTGAAGAATTTATCGAAAGTTTGCTATCATTATGATGTGGCATTTGTTCCTGATACACCAAAAAAAATGCTATCGGCTGCAATGGATGAATTCATGAGGAAGTATTTTAAGGGATATTTTTATGCATTTGATGGACGGAAGATTTTGATAACAAATAAAAAGTTAAGCATGAAAGACTTGAAAAATGATGAGTATACTGAGAAAGTTGAGGCTTATTTCGGTGGTCGTAAAAGAACTTTTGATGTAAAGGTTCAGCTTGTATCAACTGACAATATGGAAGTACTTAAGAGCTACAAGAACGACGAAAAGCCAGCCAAAGCTAATCAAAACTTAGACATAATTTTGAAATCTGTTTTTCGGCAGCAAATTGACAATGGCAAGGCAGTTAAAGCTAATAGAAATTTGTTCTTCGCTCGCGAAGCTAATGAAAGAATCGATTTAGGCGAGGGTATGGAGCTGTGGTACGGACTGTAAGTAATTCCTTAACATATTTGTTGGACTTATTAATTGATGTGAACTTCAATAGATTCCAAGCTGCCATTTTGGGTCGTGCGAAAGTCTATTTGAATATAGATGTCTTACATAAAGCATTTCCAACATCAATTCATTTGCTAGACTATATTAAAGTTTCTGACAGAAATCGTTTGGAATATTTGGATGATGAAAAAAAGAAAAATTTGAATAATTTCCTGACAATGCTGACGATTGGTTACCGCTTGAATCAAAATGATCCTCCCAGAACGTATGGTTTTAATGGTATTGGTGAACCTGCATCTAAAGCAAAGTTCAAATTCAATGGAAAGGACATGACTGTTAAGGATTACTTTGAGAAGGAAAAGAAGATCAAATTGCAATTCCCTAACTTGCCCGTCCTGTAAGTATAATAACAATTTAATAATATCAGGTAAATGACCTCAAATATCTTACATGTTATTCCTTCATTTGACAGACAAGTTGGCAGCAAAACCAACAGCATTCTCTTGCCATTAGAGTTCTGTGAACTGCCTCCAGGGCAAGTAAATAACAAAACATGTTCAAAATATGTCATTCAAAAATTGACTAGAGAGTCTGTAACTTCGCCTGCAATTCGCAAGGAAAAGATACGAAAAAGATTAAATGAAACTCCTTATAATACGGATCCAACTATCAAAGCCTTTGGAATTGAGGTTGGAAAAACTTTCCAAACCGTTGAAGCTCGTGTCATTGATCCCCCCAATCTTAATTACAAGGATGGGATTGTAAGGCCATCAAGAGGTGTATGGAATGCAGGAACATTCTTGGAAGTTAAAGGGAATCAAATAAAATGGTGCATTCTGAATGGAGGTTCAGTTGACAATACAACTATACTTCATGGTTTAAAAAGAGATTTGTTCCAAGAAGCAATAAGGCAGAACATTTTCCTGGATGACATTAATATAAACGATATAATCAACATTAAGTTCGCTGAAAATAAAGCCAAAGTTGAACAAAAATTCAAGGAATTGAAGGATTTAGGATATCAGCTGGTTGTTGTTGTACTTTCTAATGACAAGGAATATCAAGTGGTAAAGAACACATCAGAATTGTGTGTCGGTATTCTTACAACATGCATCAAGGAAGAAACAGTGAGAAAAAGATTAGGAGGAAATAATGCAACTGTCAAAAACATCTTGATAAAGTTGAATGCAAAGCTGAACGGAAAAAGTCATGAAATTGTAGAACCATCATTTAAAGCGATCTCTGCTAATGCTGGGGTTATGTTTGTTGGAGCTGTAAGTAATTTTTCACTAAAAATAGCTTTTAATGTAGTTTGAAAAAAAAATTTATTTCTAATTTTCTAATTGACAGGATGTAACGCATCCAAGCCCCGAACAAAGAAGTATCCCATCTGTGGTTGGCGTTGTATCATCTTATGATCAAGTTGGTACGAAGTATACTCCAACATGGAGATTACAAGAACCAACAGTTGAAATGATTCAAGATTTGGAGAATATTTTGGTAGAGCATCTGAAAGCTTATTTCAACTTCAATAAGAAACTCCCAAAGAGAATCATGTATTATCGGTAAGCAGCTTTTAATGACTTAATTACAGCATGACTGAATATTTTTCTCAACAGCGATGGAGTATCAGACAGTCAATTCAATAAAGTACTTGATGTGGAAATGACAGCAATAAAAAAAGCTATGCACAGATCCTATGGACAGAAACCACAAGCAGAAGTTACATTTGTTGTCGTACAAAAGCGACATCATACAAGATTCTTTCCAACTGATGCTAAATTTGCTGACAAGAATGGCAACATTCTAGCTGGAACTGTCGTTGATAAGGACATTGTGCATCCATTCCAATATCAATTCTTTATGGCATCACATACTTCTATTCTGGTAATTCAAACTTCTTTTTTTCGTATTAAGCTTTAATGATTTTTTTTTTGCTTGCAGGGAGTCACGAAGCCTTCAAAATATTGCATCTTAGCCAATGAATCGAAAATTATTGCTGACGATATTCAGGCTATAACTTTTGGTTTGTATTAATTTTATACGTAACTTTGATAATAATCTTTAATTTTATTTACTTCCTGAATAGATTTGTGTCACCTTTTCTCGCGATGCAACAGATCTGTTTCGTATCCGGCACCTACATATTACGGTAACGATATTTGGATTTAATTATTCACATTTTGGGGTTTGATCAGTGCTGCAAATACATTGAGGGTTATTGGGTGTCTTAAGTTGTTTAATTTATCTTACAAAGAGGACTTCCTTCTTTCTAAGCTATGATCTAAAATAAACCAGACCTCAGACCATCGAGAACGCTAGTCCTAATTGTAGATCTCCCTATAACTGCAATATGTGTAAACAAATGTAAAACAAGTCAGGTTTGATGGGAATCGAACCCGCGATCGCTGATCATTCGATCAGAGATCCCTTCCACTCGGCCACCGAGGTACTTATCTCACTTCGGCTATCCGTCATATACATATAACCAGTTTCACTGCGACCCCTATGCTCAGGCATATCTACACTAATCACCTTTTAAACTTTATTACAGCTCACTTAGTTGCTGCACGTGGAAAGAACTATTTTGATGGAAACGATATAACTTCAATTATGGAGAATATTGATCGTGCAAACCAAAAATATCAGAATAATGGAATCAATCAAACATTCGTCCGTGACACACCAATGTTTTTTGTTTAAGCACCTAAAACTGTTGGCTTTTATATTTCTCAGAATAATATATTCAATAATCCTACATTAATCTTTTACTGAATTTATCAACAATATTTATTTTTTATATTTAATAAATTAGAGATAAGATAAAGATTGGCTGAAAAGCAAAAGACTTTTTATTTCATTTGTGACTGAATTGAACATCTGACAGGATGGAAATTACTTTCGTTGGTCTATTTATTTTATTTTTTGCTACATGTAAGTGCTAATTAAAGTTCATTTTAACGATCCAAATGAAAGGTTTTATCCGCAGCAATTAGCATTGAAGCTAAAAGTTTTAATCCACAAGAATGTAGCGATCCAAATGAAAGATTTGATATGTGCGGTCCTGCTGATATTTGTGTTGCGACTTGCGACAATCCAGAAGGAAATAATGTTGATTGTCCACCGGTTTGTTCGATCGGATGCTTTTGTGTTCCTGGCTTTGTTCGTGGACCTCAAGGAGATTGTATTTATTTGAAGGACTGTCCATAGACATGGAGTTTTGATTTTCATAATTTTGTCTAATATGTATATAAAAGCATCTAGAGCATTTAAAAAAATACTGATGTTATCCTTAGTCAAAGATAATGTGAATAAAACACAATTGAAGGAGAATACTCCGTCATATCAAGTTTTTATAAAAGTCTCAAAATTGTTATTACGTAACTGTGTGCAGTGGCGTTACTAAGCATAGACAAAGAGCAGTAATAATGATCAAGGTGTGACTTACTCTCGCAATTGTTTCTCTTATTGGCTTTAAGAAAGATGAACAGCTCAATTTGATTGGATCGGAACTTTAAGATGAATTTTATAAAACAGACAATCCCAAATTGTAGATCCAAAAAACCAGGCGATAAGAAAACAATTTCATGTGATCGTAAAAAGTTTTAATTATCGTAATCGATCGTAAAGTTTCAGTCACGAATAAGCTTTTTAATGAACAAATCGACAAAAGCTTAAATTTATTCGATCAAATTGACTTTTAAGTCTACATCTTCAGTCTAGGTTTGTCAAAGAAACTGAAAACATGAAATTATTTTTTGTGGCATTTCTTGTCATTTTTGCAGCTGTGTCATCACGTAAGTTACAGTTTATTGTGTACAAAAATATTTTATTTATTTAATATTCTAAGAACAGAAGTAAATGCAGACAGAAGAAGATGTACTAAGAAGTTTGAAGTATTTGATGCTTGTGGAAATCCCTGCATGGATACTTGTGACAGAATTTTCATCCGTTGTGCATATCAATGTGTAGCTGATTGTTATTGCGACGATGGATATTGTAGAGATAATAATGGAGCATGTATTCCATATCCTTGGTAGGTTTTAGGAGTTACTTTAAAGCTTGAAAGTAAAAATGATTATTGTTTTGACAAAATTTCAGGATTTAATCTTAATGAAAGGAACTTAACTTAGGGAACTGTTATAAATTTTTTAAAAAAATCCCTTAAGTTTATGTATGCAGCAGTTAACATAAAAGATGTTAAACCTTACTGCTAGACTTAAAAACAAATTTGACAAATCGACTAATGTAAAAAAAATTAAAATAAATGTGTGAATTTGCATTAAGTTTCACTTACTTTATTTTTCAGAGTTTTATTTGCACAGGTTTAAAAAAGCTACTTTATGTATCTGCTTAGAGATTTTGCTTATCGTTTCTTCTCAACAACTGTTTCGTGACTCATAAAATATGAATTTTAGGATACCCAAATAATCAAATTACGGCCTTCCTCTTGTTCCTTCTTCCAAATGCTATAAAAGTTTATGCTTTCATAAAAGTAGAAAAAGAGAAGCATCAAGGAGTAGACAAACTAGCCAACCTGCAACATGCATCTTTTTCAGAATCCTTCTTTTCTGAACTGGACAGCTTAACAACTTTCTTGAATGTTTCAGGATTTTGAAGACTTAATGATCCAAGTTATTTAACAAATCTCTAAAAACAACTAAAGAGATTCCAAAACAAAAACTTAATAAGCCGAAAGTTTAATTATTCCACAAGCTTTTCACGACTTTAATAATTAAAATCTACTACACCAGTAGTTCCATAGCTTTTCAATATAAAATAACAAATAAGTTGACATACCATTACAGGCAAAGCCATCTCAATATGTTTTTGATAAAGGCATTCAGTTCATTTAAGTTTGAACAGCTGACAAGATGAAATTATTATTCCTTATTTTTATTTTCGTTGCCATTTTCGCAAGTAAGCAAAATAATTTAATTTATTAAAATTAATAGAAAATCAATTCCAGAAAATTCATCTTTAGCAACAAAGGCAGACAGCAAGAAATGCAAAGCAAATGAAGTTTACAAAGAATGTGGAAGTTCATGCTCTGATTCTTGTGATAGAATCTTCATCCTTTGTCCATATCAATGCGAGCCTGGATGCTATTGCGTTGACGGATATTGCCGTAGTTCACCAGGAAGATGTATTCTATATCCTTGGTAGTTGTTATGGATGATTGTGAGAATTTGTAATAAATTCAATATGAACCTTTGAATATTTGGTTTTATTTCTTATTCTTATTAATTTCAGGTTTTGTTTGCTAATTCTAGGAACTGAAAATTTCCAAAAGATTTAGTTTCAAAATTTCATATAAATCAGCAATTGCGTCGTGTCATTAATGTCTACGGTTAGTTCAAACCGCATGTATTTTTTGTAATTAATAAAAAAACAGTTCAGAACGAATTTTTATTTGAACAACTTTAAATGGCCAAACAAACAAACTTGTTACACGATGTACAACGTGTTCTGGATGATGAAAAATTATCGATGCGTTCGTTTACAAGGTCTTTAACAGACCTAGACATTGTCTGAATTTTAGAAAATTGAGATGAATGCTTAATCTTGTTTTTAATCAGATTTGAACCATTCTTACGTGTTTTAGCTATCAAATATGATTTATGTTGGCTAACGTAGTGTTACTTCCTGCTTTCGCATTACGCCCAGTTCAATTACGATCCATCGACTTACTAAGACATTGTCTGTAGCTGGCTCTATTGCTAAAACACATGTAAGGATTCCAAATACCAATCAAAATGCGGTTTTCTTTTAACAGCTTCTTTAAATGCGTCATTTGGCCTCCTTACAATATACTAAGCCTGCCGTGAGCTTTTTAATAACTTTGAGGTTAACACGTCACCCAGAAAAAATAAATCATATGATATTCACTCGAACATATGATTATGCAGTGCTGGAACCAACTTAGAGAACAAATTTAATGAAGATCATGACAGTTGGAACAATAAGTAAGAGGATTTAAATAAAGATTTATCGATTTGCAATTTTAAAATGCTGCATTTAAGCAAATGTCTGTCATTTTTACTTTTTAGCGCATTTTTGAAACTTGTTTCAAAAAGGTAGCTTAATAACGCACTTTGGTCGGCTGGTCGGCTGGTCGGCTGGTCGGCTGGTCGGCTGGTCGGCTGGTCGGCTGGTCGGCCGCTAAGAAAAACTTTTAATCTAGACATCGTAGAGAGTTCTAGTTTTTTGCATTAGTTCCGTTATATCGAGTTATTGGCCCGCCGGACATTTAAAAATCTTAAAACAGTGTATTTATGCTATAATTAATGAATTTTTGTTTTGTTTTCAGTGTAACCTGCTCAAATTTTATTTTACCTCTATAATTTCAATATTACCTCTATAATTTCAAAAAATTTCTAGCCGTTGTAAAATTTGAATTTCAAAAAACCGTTAAATGATAAACTTTTTTTGTATGGAAATTCATTGGAACAAATTATTTAATTATACTATAATTAATTTTTTCGTAGTGCAACTTATAGCGGGAAAATTTCAAACTATTTATTGACCGTTAGAAAATTTGAATTACAAAAAAATGTTAAATGATAAACCCTTTCTGTATGAAAATTCATTGCAACAAATTATTTAATTATACTATAATTAATTTTTTCGTAGTGCAACTTATAGCGGGAAAATTTCAAATTATTATTATATTGACCGTTAGAAAATTTGAATTACAAGAAACCGTTAAATGATAAACTCTTTCTGTATGGAAATTCATTGCAACAAATTGTTTAATTATACTATAATTAATTTTTTCGTAGTGCAACTTTTAACGGCAAAATTTCAAATTATTTACTGACCGTTAGAAAATTTGAATTACAAAAAATCGTTAAATGATAAATCCTTTCTGTATGGAAATTCATTGCAACAAATTATTTAATTATACTATAATTAATTTTTTCGTAGTGCAACTTATAGCGGGAAAATTTCAAATTATTTAATGACCGTTAGAAAATTTGAATTACAAAAAACCGTTAAATGATAAACCCTTTCTGTATGGAAATTCATTGCAACAAATTGTTTAATTATACTATAATTAATTTTTTCGTAGTGCAACTTTTAACGGCAAAATTTCAAATTATTTACTGACCGTTAGAAAATTTGAATTACAAAAAATCGTTAAATGATAAATCCTTTCGGTATGGAAATTCATTGCAACAAATTATTTAATTATACTATAATTAATTTTTTCGTAGTGCAACTTATAGCGGGAAAATTTCAAATTATTTACTGACCGTTAGAAAATTTGAATTAAAAAAAACCGTTAAATGATAAATCCTTTCTGTATGGAAATTCATTGCAACAAATTATTTAATTATACTATAATTAATTTTTTCGTAGTGCAACTTTTAACGGCAAAATTTCAAATTATTTATTGACCGTTAAATAATAATCCTTTCTATATAAGCATTCATTGTAACTTTTTGTTAATTACACTAAAATTAATGATCTTCTAATCTTCTCATGATCTGTAAATGAACGCAAAATAATTACATAATCAAATACTGATCGCTAACACAAAAATGCGCTTAAGTCCCTCGATCAATAACACGAGGACTTCTGTAATTTTTTCAATCCTTTGATGTTCGATTTTGGTCAATTAATCCATCAATTTTCATGATTAATAAAACTGAAACATCCATTTCCGGCCAGCAAAGTAAGTAAAGTAAGTAAGAAAACTTCCATGTAATATTTAATTGCTACAAAGCTCTCAAGTTTACAAGATCTTCTTAGTTCTAATAATGAAACGTCGACAAAAACCTAAAAGCTTATAATCAGTCGATTTAGAAACTATAAAAGCAGGATAAACTCAAACATATCGATTAGTTTTGAAAGTTTAGAGCTTCAAACAACATGAAAGTAATTTTCACAGTTCTCGTTTTAGTGGCTGTAGCTGCACGTTAGTTTTTAATATTCAAGTTCAAGTTTAAGGACAGAAAAAGAAGCGAAAAAGAATTAATTATTATTTTTAAAATCTTCAAAAACAGATACAGATGCAAGGAAGAGATGTTACCCACTTCCAGTTCCAGTAACTGATCCACCAGTTCCAGCATGTCCAAATAATGAAGTCTACTCAGATTGTGGAGCATATTGTCAATCAACATGTGGCCCACCCACACCATGTGCACGTCCTCCCCAAGATTGCAATCCTGGATGCGTTTGTGCTGCTGGCTTTGTTCGTGATGTTAGCGGTGGAAAATGTATTCTACGTGAAGATTGTCCTGTAAACGGTATGATCAGGTTTCTATTTTATTTCATATCAAAGGGACCGTTCACTTATGATATCTATGCATAAACAATTCTTTGGGTCCGTCTTAAAATAATATTCATGTTTATATTTATAAATTTTGTTAATCCACCAGAGCCAGTATGCAAAAAGTTCGAAATTTTCTCGGATTGTGCTGCAGAAGCTTGTAAAAAAACATGTGAGACTTTGGACACATATTGTAAAGCTCCTTGTGTTCCTGGTTGTAAATGCCCTGAAGGTCAGGTCTACTTAGATGACAACAGAAATGCGTGCGTTGTTGAAGAAGACTGCCCTAAAATCAGTATGATAAAGTTTAAATATATTTTGACTTAATGTTCCTTATTAATAACATCTATTTACCTACTTAAAAACAGTTGTTGATCCACCACAGCCTGAACCGGAACCAGAACCACAGCCTGAACCTGAACCAGAACCTCAGCCTGAACCTGAACCTGAACCTCAGCCTGAACCTGAACCGGAACCAGAACCACAGCCTGAACCTGAACCACAACCATCAAGTGAAGAGCCATTACCACCACCAGAACCAACACCAACATGCTCAGGAGAAAATGAATACGCTACTGAATGTGGAACATTATGTGAACCAACATGTAAAAACTTTAGCAATCCTCCACCCTGTCCTATTGTTTGTGTTTCCGGATGTTTCTGTAATCACGGCTACGTTCGTAACTCGGATAACAATTGTGTTCTTGAAAACGAATGTCCAGCTATTGGTAAATTTTCTATATTTTGTTTTAAACATTTTTATTAATTCATTTTTTTTCTATTTTATTATAGTTAAAAATGATAAATGAATCATTCATATAGGCCAGCATATTCATGATTTTCGTACAATCTAGAAACATCCTGATTTCCATGTATTGAAATTAAAGTTTTAAAAAATAAAAAAAATTCAATTTTTTCGATAAATTCGAAAAAAGTTTCATTTCTTTGAAAACATATTTATTTGAATAGATTAATCAGACATGGCAACAATGTTGTCACGGGAGGGGGACAGTAAGGCTGAAGAAATAAACCAGCACTACAACATGTATTTTATTTAAATTTTCAAAAACTTTATTTGTATTCAAAAGTTTTAAAAATTCCACAAAAAAGCTCCGAAAAATTTTAAATAAAAACTGCAAAACCTTACTTTGCATCTTTAGTTCGTATCAATTTGAACAGCAGACAAGATGAAATTTTTATACTTAATCGCATTCCTCGCTCTTTTTGCAGTTGGTGAGACTTTAACATTTTGGAACTTGTAAATTTAATTTTAATAATTTCTAATCAGGCATCAATGCTGCAAAAGAAGATTGCAAGAAAAATGAAGCCATAATCGAGTGTACCAACGAGTGCATGGAATTGTGTGATAGACCAATGTTCTGTCCAATGTCGTGCATTACTGGATGCTTCTGTGCTGAAGGTTATTGCCGTGATGCACATGGAAAGTGCGTTCCTTTACCCGTTTTGTAATGTCTAAGCATTATATAAGCTCTGGCAATAATCGAGTAATTGTATTGACATCCTCAGAATAATAAAGTTGTCAGTAAATAAATGAATAAAAAATTGTTTTTCAATAAATAAAACTGTTTAAATAAGTTCTTATAGCGCTCGATGAAAAAAGTCTGTTTTGTGAAAATTATTCAGCATTTTAAAGCATAATTTCAAGTAAAAAAGTAAATTTTTAAAAAAAAATTCAAAGCCAGCACTTAGTTTGGTCATGTTTTGATAAAATCGTATTCTTTTGAATCTTAACATTGCAAGAAAGTTAAAAAATTTGAGCTTAAATGACACAAATTATTTATAAACTTACTTTATGAGTCATAGCTATGGTGATTGGAGCTCTAGCTTTTATGTGCCGCTTTTTGAACAGCTGATCAAATATAAAAAAGTTAAATAGACATTTTGAATGGATTGAACTTTTTTAATCCAATTCTTTTAAAGATTAGACAACTTATTGAATAACATAGATCTGTTAATCGAATAGAAATTCAGTGCCAAACTGGTGACTCTTGAATGGTGCTGACTATGATTTAAATCAAGCACCATGCCAGAGTTACATTGGGATAATTAGGTTCTTACAAACTTAACTACTAAGACTTAAGTTTAAAAGGATAATTTGTTGTCCAGAGTATAGTAAGTCAAGTATGCAGCAGCGTAATACTAGATCATCCTGATTTAATTTGAGTTTACTTTTGAATCCGACTTCTGTCTATAGAATGTCTATAGGACTTAAGAGATTGAAAAATTTGAACCAGATCACTGCTATTAAAACAATTGACAGCCTTTTCGTAGCTGCTTTAGACAGTGTGCTTTTATAAATTCATTTGATTAAGTCTAAAGCTTCTTAAATTGCGTCTCTTAATTTTAATTTGTCATAAAGTCTCCAAAAACCTGAAAGCTTATTACAAATACTAAGCTGATAAAGACACTATAAATTAAGACACTTACTTCCGTAGCTCTCAGTTTTCATAGTTTTGAGCTTCAAATAAGATGAAAATTATTTTAACTGTCTTCGTTTTTGTGGCTGTTGCTGCACGTGAGTCTTGATTCTTTCTTTTTTAATATGGTTTAATTCAAAGTGTGACGTGTAAAATTTAAGATTGAAGAATTAATTGATTTAAAAATATGCAAAAACAGATGCTGACGCAAGGAAGAGATGCTTCCCAGTTCCAACTCCAGTAGTTGATCCACCAGTTCCAGTATGTCCAAATAATGAAGTCTACTCAGATTGTGGAGCATATTGTCAATCAACATGTGGCCCACCCACACCATGTGCACGTCCTCCCCAAGATTGCAATCCTGGATGCGTATGTGCTGCTGGCTTTGTTCGTGATGTTAGCGGTGGAAAATGTATTCTACGTGAAGATTGTCCCTTAAATGGTATGATCAGGTTTCTATTTTATTTCTTATCAAAGGGACTGTTCAGTTATAACGTCGAACATTTATTGTAAAAGATTTAATAGCAAGACCTACTCTCGACTTGTAATCAATATTATGGAACGTTCTTGACAAAATGTTAAAAGTAGATCCGCTTGCTATATCAATTAAATCAGTTTTTAAAATCTTAATTTTCAGCTGTGTGCTCCTTACCGAAATTACCAGGACCTTGTAAAGGTAGGAACAGTTTCAAAATTATAGGAAAAATATTAATTTTGTATCTTTTAAGCTTTGTTTCCACGGTTCTACTATGATACGGAACAGAAAAAGTGCTTAGGGTAAATCCTGCTACTTCCTTAATTTTTTGTTTATTTTATAAAAAGTTCAAATTTTAAAGATTCAATTATGGTGGATGTGAAGGAAATGCAAACCAGTTTGGAACATTAGCAGAATGTCAAGAAATGTGTGGTGGACCTACAGCTCCTGGTGAATATGAATTTCAACCTTTTGTTAATTATAAATTGACAAAATCATTAATTTAACTTCTCTTTAAATATTTTGTTAATCCACCAGAACCAGTATGCAAAAAGTTCGAAATTTTCTCGGAATGTGCTCCAGAAGCATGTAAAAAAACCTGTGACACTTTAAACACTGCATGTAGAGCTCCTTGTGTTCCTGGATGTAAATGCCCTGAAGGTCAGGTCTACTTAGATGACAACAGGAATGCGTGCGTTCTTGAAGAAGACTGCCCTAAAATCAGTAAGATAAAGTTTAAACATATTTTGACTTAATGTTCCTTATTAATAACATCTATTTTCCTACTCAAATAACAGTTGTTGATCCACCACCACCTGCAGAATGCTCAAAGAAACACGAAAGCTACATTGAATGTGGATCAAAATGTCCACGTACATGTGGCAATTTAAATAATCCTCCAATGTGTCCAATGGTCTGTGTTGCTGGATGCTTTTGCGATGCTGGATATGTTCGCAATGCTAAAGGAAATTGTGTCCTTGAAGAGGATTGTCCAGTTGTTGGTAAATTTCTGAAAGATTTAATTTTAAGGAATTTTTATTAATTTTTATTATAATTAAAAACAGTTGTTGATCCACCAGCTCCAATTTGTAAAAAAGCTCACGAAACCTACACAACTTGTGGAACCGCATGTCCGCTAACATGTGATGAACCACTTCCACGACCATGCACAAAACAATGTGTTAAAGGTTGCTTCTGTGACAAAGGCTACGTTAGAGACAATAAAGGAAATTGTGTTCTTGAAAAAGAATGTCCAAAGCCTGGTAAGCTGAATTGATGATTACTTTTCAATATTTTCAAACTTTTATAACAAATCCTTAGAATGTGGTAAGCATGAAACCTACAGCGATTGCGGTGCTAGCCCATGTCAGGCAACTTGTGAAAATCCTAGCCTTCCTATGTTGTGTAAAGCACCATGTAAACCAGGATGTGGTTGTGATGACGGCTATGTCCGAGAGAATGATGGAAGTTGTGTTCTTTTGAAGAAGTGCAAGCCAACATGTAAGACACAAACTGACTTTAAGATGTTCAAAATTCTTTTATTTTATTTTTAATTCATTAAAGTGGAATGTGGAGCCAATGAAGAATATGAAGCTTGTACAACACGTAAGATTCAATTTTTTTAAAGTTTGACCACAATTTGTAATAACCACAATTTTTATTGAAGTTTGTGGAGAACCAACATGTGACAGAGCTGAAGGTCTTCACTGCGGTGCTGGAGGATGTCAACCAAAGTAAGTTCTTAATTCGATGTCTGTTTTTGCATTGTTCAGTGATTTTAAATTTGATTTTTTTTCTAGATGTCTTTGTAAGGCAGGATATGTCCGAGATGCTGAAAATAAATGCATCAAAGCTAAGGCTTGTCCAGATCGTAAATATTAAAATTGATTTTTTTTAAAAAAAACATTTTTAATTGATACATTTTAATTTACAATCTCACAACCACCACCACCACTTTAAGATGGAGATTTTTAATAGAAGTTCAATTATTGATTTTTGAATCTTGGATTCTAAAATTTTCAAAAAATGATTCTTAATTTGGTAAAAAATCAAATTGAAAAATTTGATACAAAAATTAAATGAATCAATAAAGATTATAAACTCGATGAATTCAAAATTGAGTTAAATTTATTTTGTGAAAACACATTTATTTGAACAGGTTAACAGCACAAGATGTTTGTCGACAACAATAATATCAAAAACATGTCTTTTAAGTTCGAATTTAAAAGGAATTTAAAATTTTATTTCGTCTCAAAATGATCCAACTTCAGACATGGTTATTGAGCACTTAAACTATTACCAACTGAATAATTACTTACTTCCTTGGCTGGCTGTACAGATCAATTGTGATTGGCCTCCCTTAGAAGGCGTCTGAAGCTAGCTCTATCGCTGGCTACTGTTTGCAAATTACCTAAAACAAATGCAATACTGTCTCGGTCAACAACTTTTTCCAGGAGTTAATGGCACGTCTTCGTGATCTTTTGCCATCTACAAGAACATTCTTAAAGACTTTATAAATGAGAGCTTCAACAGTTCTCTTAACTACTTGTCCAGCCCAACGGAGCTTGTTAACTTTGACATCATCGTAGTCGTAGGATATCAGCTGTATACTAATATAGTTCTGTGTTGCTCCTGCTCTTGTAAAAGTCTCCATCTCTCTTCGGTCCAAATGTAATTAGCAGGACTCTTTGCTCAAATACATCAATTGCGTTCTCATATGCGGAATAATTAAATCTACCTTAAAACAAGGATGAAAAGTTGCAAAGATTGAGGTTTTAAGCTTGTGTGATTGCAGAATTGACAATTTTAAAATAAACAAAAAGCCTTAATCATGAGGAATACAAAAAAGCTAAGCTTGATTGTCTGTTTAAAAGTTTATCAATTCCAAAAAAGCTCCCAAATTAAAACTCTACAAAAGCTCAGTACAAACACTTAACTGAATAATATACACCAAATTTCTTGTATAAAACCTAAACAACTTCAGATAACATTCCTCAGTCATTGCTATTAACTTCAAACAAGATGAAAATAATTATTAGTGCCTGTTTTTTCGTAGCTGTAGCTGCACGTAAGTTGAAAATTGATTAAATTATTTTATCTTAAAACTTACTTTCCTCAACTCTGTAGAAGAACTAAGACCTAAACCTTGCGGAACCAATGAATTATATTCAAATTGCGGTGCCAATGGATGTCAATCAACATGTGCAAATCCAACGCTTAATCTAGTCTGTAAAGGAACATGCATTGCTGGATGTATCTGCAAAGAAGGCTACCTTCGTGACTCAAATGGAAAATGTATTTTAGCCAAAGACTGTCCTATCATTTGTAAAGGACTCGAAATATTCTCTGACTGCGCTCCAAATGCTTGTAAAAAAACATGCGATACATTGAATACAGCATGTAGAGCTCCATGTGTTCCTGGATGTAAATGCCCAAATAATTTCGTCTACAGTGATAAAACTAAAACTAAATGTATTCCCATCAAAGCATGTCCACAAAGTAGTAAGATTATCTTTTTAAAATAATAATTGTAATTTTTATTCAGCAATTTTTTCATTTTTTCATTTAGAATGCAAAAAGTTTGAAATTTTCTCGGATTGTGCTCCACTAGCTTGTCAAAAAACCTGTGACACTTTAAACACTGCATGTAGAGCACCTTGTGTTCCAGGCTGCAAATGTCCTGAAGGTCTCGTTTATAAAGATGATAACAAGGACGCATGCATCATCCCTGAAGAGTGTCCACAAATTATTTAATTTTTTACATTTTGAAATTTTAAATTTTCATTTGAGTGTTTGAAACTTTTATAAATTTTTTATTTGTAAATTTATAAAACAGTTCAAAAATTAAATAAACAACTTGGATTTAATCTAAAGAACAAAACTTTATCATTTACCAAAGGCTCGTAAATTGACATAACGAGATGCCGGTTTTAGGGTTACCCTAGTCTTAGATTAATTCCATTTATATTACATTTCGAAACATATCAAATTTTAATTTTTGTGCTAGAGTTTCCCGGTTAGACCTAGAAACCGGTTCCAGTATTAAAACATACTGCCTTGACTCCATTCATTCGCTAAAAGTCAATTTGCAGTAAAGCTAATCAATTTAATATAAAGATAATGTCACACTCCACTCAAAATGATTGAAGATGGTCGACAGAATTTGTAAATTCTTATCAAACAACGTTCCACGTGTTAATTAATAGTTTCATATTTCAAAAAAGACGAGTGTTGTGAACCAACAAATTATTAATTTAACATGATAAACGGAATTATTTACACAAGTTTTTATTTTAAATGAGGAGCAAAATATCTGTTATTGACATATTATTATCAAGCTGTAATAAAATGTCTAGATTAATTTGTTCAGTGAAATTGATTCCAAAGAGGAAATATGTAGAAGATAAGAATTCTAAGGTTATACTAAGATTAAGTCTGAAGTCGCTACTGTGTCAAAAAAGATGAACCTAGATTTTGAAAAGCACTGATTTTAAAAGTCATCAGCCCTTCTCTGCTATCATCCTTTCTATTAATTATCCAGGTTGTAGCCATTGAGTCTTAAGAAGTCTCATTCAAGACGAAAAAACAAAAATCAAAAAGTCAACATTAAGTTTGAGTAGCTCTCAAGTTGATCATTTCTAAAGTTTAATTTCAAATAATTAAAAAAAGTTAAAATTAAGCAATTTTAAATATTTTTTTAACGGATTTTATTTTTCTCAACTTAAGTTTCATCTGAAAAGCTTTTACAATTGATAATAAAAAAGTCTCAAAAACCTGCAAGAGCTACGTGCTCCTCAACTAATCCTCAACTACTATAAAAACCAATAATTTTAAGCACTACCTTCAGTTGTCATTGTTAAAAACTTCAGTCAAGATGAAAATCATTTTAATCTTCTTTATTTTCGTAGCTGTTGCTGCACGTAAGTCTTGATTAAGTAATGTCCTTAACAGAAGTATTATAAATGACTTAATAGGCGTAGATGCAAAGAAAAGATGTTACCCACTACCAGCATGTGGACAGAATGAAGTCTATTCAGATTGTGGTGCCAATAGCTGTCAATTAACATGCGAAAAACAAAACAATGGTAATTTCTGTACTGCCGAATGCAAGGCTGGATGTATCTGTGAAAATAATTATGTTCGTGATTCAAATGGAAAATGTGTTCTTGTAAAGAATTGTCCACCACTTTGTAAGATTTAATTTGAAGTTTATTTTAAAAAAATGATTTAAGTTGATTTTTAAAATTTATTATTCAGTAACATGTCTAGAAAATGAGTATTATCATCCTTGCTCTACATGTAAGATTTGTTGAATTAATTTTGAACATTTATTAAGAATTTTATTTTAAAAAGATTGTGAAGAACCAACATGTGGAAATCGAAATGGAACTATTTGTGGTGTTGAATGTCAACCAAAGTAAATATTTCTTTAAAATTAAATTAATAAATAAATTATTAAACTAAATATTGATTCCATCACACAGGTGTCTTTGTATGGAAGGCTTCGTCCGAAGTGTTAATACTGTATGCATAAATGCCACAATGTGTAATGGCTCGTAAGTTTTTCCTAAACTTTAATTTTAAATTTGAACTAAATATTATTAAATATTACAACAGATTTTCATGGTCTTACAATTAATAATAGCTTTTGGCTATGTTTGAAACCTCATTAAAATTGAATAAAATGTCCTTAAAATTTTAAATCCTGATTAAAGGTGCGGAAATGATTAAAAAAGTTTTTTATAATTTTTGTTGATTTATTTTGAAAATAAAAATTTCAAAGCATTAAAATTAAAACAAATTTTAATCTTAATCTGAAGAATAATTTGTAATTTTGCAGCCTTTGGAATAATTTTTGGAACATTTTTCTTACTATGCTGGTAAAACAGATTGGATGTGAGTCACAGGCGCGTAACCAGGGGGAGGATTTGGAAGACAAATCCCCCGACGTTAACAGAAATTTCTTCATCTTGCTAGGAGTTTTATGAAAAAATCATAAAAATCCCCCACTTCCCTCTGAATTTTCCATATAAAAATTTTATTGCCCCCCCCCCCCTTCTTCAAATTTCTGGCTACGCCCCTGGTGAGTCAAAGACTCATTTATATAGCTCAACCCTTTTGCCAACTATTGATTCTAAGTTCAATACTGCCTCTGCAGTTGCCATAATCATTTGTTTGCTACAAAAGACTTAGAACCAAAAGAACAATAGATTCTGTTGTCGATCCGGTCATCATCTTGTCGCACCATGCAGGAACAAATCGAATCATTCCAATTCTTTCAGATTATTATTTATGCAATGATTTATCAAAATTAAAAAAAATATTAAGGTCATTTGTTAAACCATAAGTCTAATGATCCTTATCACTGGCTTACAACTTATAATAATAATAATAATAATATGTGAAGGGACCAGTCTTTCAGCTGGAGTCACTGCGATTCAATTTGTAAAGAATCTATTGTACGATAACCTTTAGACCTTCAGTTTATATTGGGAACCGAACCACTTGCAAGCTCTGTACATTGCCTAGCAAAGACGGCACATTCTATGCCAAAGACAACAAAACTACACCCAACACACGAACTGAGCTTCGTAACTAGAACGGTCAAATGGAAAAAGAGATTCGAGAATTAGACATGGCCTGGGATTGAACCCAGGACCTTTGTCACGACAGGCCAACGCTCTACCATTTAGGCCACTGATGGCATTTCACCGCTGGACCTGAACTTACAAATGACTCAATTCTTCTGATTTCACTCTGTTTAAACACCAAAAAATTGTTGATTAAAGAAAGATTTAGCCATCGATTGAATGTTTTAATCATCGTCGAAAGGCACACGGCGTGAAAATGGCTGTCAATCGTGCATTAATGCCGTTGTGGTCAACAATTGGTTTTTCAATTCTTATATGAAATGTTCAGCTTATTCATTAGTCACAACAATAAGATCTTATAGATTCATAAAAACTTAATAGAAACGCAATGCAAAACTTATAATTAGAAAACAGTTTATTTGGACAAGTTTAACCAGAAGTTTGCTTATTGATGACGATAATTCCAGCAATGTTGTTCGTGCATTTCTGGTTTAAATTCATAAAACAGAGACAAAAGTTTTAGTTTGCAATAATAAAAAACAGTTTTTAGTTTTAAATTGATGAGTAATCTTCAAATATTCTAAATTACAAAAGCTTTTGAGGAGATTTAACTTTCAGGACAAAAACTTTTGGTCATAAAAATCTTCAACAAATCTCTTTTTTTTTTGGAAAATCATCTCACAATCCATCCAACGTGAGGATTTTCGTTAATGCATAAAAAATAACAAGATCCAATGATGATGATGACATATGAATATAAAAGTAGATAAATCTGGATGATTTTGAAGGGTTATCGCGTTACATTCAGCATTTGAATAATTTGCATCAATGAAAGTCTATGTAGACATACGGAATAAAGTGAGGCATATCCATTTATTAAAAGAGTTGAAGGGAAAAAAAAGGACAAATAAATCATCATAGGAAATTCAAAAACACATAAGAAGGAACGAATTTAAATGAGGAAAAGGTGGAAGGGTTCCCTTCATCTGCATTTGAATTTTATTCACATTTTACTTTTATTGCTCGGCCTGACATAAAATATATTTTCAAGGAACAATTCATAAATAAATCAATGTTAGAGTTTTCTTTTCCTATGTTTTGATGGATTTAAGGGCTGCGGTACGAAATAAGTTTTTCTTTTCGTGAATGAAACTTTTTTTGCAGCAATAAAGGGGAATGAATTATTTAGCTTATTGTAGAAATGCTCCTGGTTTGCTTGACTATTAGGCTTGAGTAAAATATGTTTTCATTCTTTATAGCGCCTGAATAATTTGCAAATGAAGTCAATTAGGATAAGGATGCAATGTAGAATCAGAATGCTGTCTTGTTCTAGTGTAAGTTCGATTCTTATAAACTAAGATCCCAAAAAAATAATTTCCAAGATTTGAAACATATACTTTGAAATATTTTTATTGATTTGTAGAGTAAAATTTAATCTCATAAAACCAAAATCCAAATATTTATCAACTAAAGCTAACAAAAATCATGATTAAAGGACAACAATTGATTCTTCTGAGTCATTTAAAGAGAACTCGGATGAGAATGATGGAAAATTTTGACTTCTTGGTATATAGTTTACGAAACAAGACTTTAATTTGATCTTTAAGTCTTCACTATTTGTTTTTGGCATCAACAATTTACAGCAATCATTATTTCTCATGTTAAGGAACGTTAATGCTGTATTGTTGATAAATTCAGGATAAATTGAGTTGATTTTATTATCATCAAGAGAAAGAACTGTCAAATTATTGTGAATTCCAAATGAATCTGCATGAATTATTGTCAATTGATTGTTTCTTAAAGTCATTTGTTGTAAGTTTCTCAATGAAGTGAAGACTCCAGCTGGTAGATCAGAAATCTCATTATTGCGTAAAATTAATGCTTGCAAGCTTTGAAGACCGTTAAAACTGTTAGAATTTAATATTTTTATCAAATTTCTTTTAAGCGTTAAACTTTCCAAATTTCTCAGTGATGTAAAAACGTTTGATGGAATTTCCGAAATTTGATTTCCATTCAAGGCTAAGAACTTTAAATTGTGCAAATTTGTGAACCATTCTGGATTCAATAATTCAAGATTATTTTTGCTTAAATGAAGCTCTTCAAGGTTCACAAGGGCACGAAAAACTTTTCTAGGCAAAACATTTATTTGATTTCTATGCAAATTTAAAACTTTAAGTTTCAATTGATTTGCAAATAAGTTCTCGGGAAGTGCTGTCAACTTGTTATCATTTGCAGTGAATTTAGTCAATTTTAAATTTTTTGTCAGCAAATTTTCTGGAAGTTCTCGTATTTGATTCTTAAAAATCGTTAATAGCTGCAAATTTGGACATTTTGAAACTGAATTTTCATCAATTGATTCAGTTTCGGCTCTGATTATTTGAAATATTTTCAGATTCTTGAAATTTTGACAAAAGATTTGCGAAATTGTTTTCAAATTGTTGTTCATAAAGTTTTTAATGCATTTTACATCCTAATTGTTGCGGCTATCAACATGTTGTCCGTTGATTGTGGTAATATCTTCATTAAAATTAGCTTCTGATGTGTCTAAGTCACAAACATAGCTTATATCTTCAACTCCAGATGTCGCAATATTTTGGGAACTGAAGTTGCAAGTTACGATTTGAGCCCTGGTTCCATTTTCTAACAGAAATATTGCACAAAAAGTGATAAAAATTGTAATTTTCATTTTAATTAATCACTTCACTTTTTAATCAATAATTTTTTTAAATAATTTAAATATTTTGATTGATAATCGATCCTGTAGATTAGACAATGTCGAACTATGATGAACATTCAATTCATTGATCACTTTGAGTTCAACGATGTATTATATTAATATTGAAGATTCCATTTACTGTATTATTGTCATGCATTTTGGTTTTCTAGAGCTGTCGTGACTCAATAAGGTCACAAAAAGTTCAAAATTCTAAAAATGTTTATGACTGGGAAATAAAGTATTAAATTTTGAAGTAATACAAAGATGACTTATTACAAACAAGCCTGTTTGTCGAGGTTTCAAATTTTATTTCCTATGACTTCATTCCTAGATTAAATCTTAAACTAATCCAAATGAAATCCTTTTTAATTCTTCAAAAAAAAAAACAGAATCTTCAACCGATCAGAAACCCAACGAACAATCTGCCAACATATCACATTAAATCAACTTATTTACTCATTCTATGCGTCATCTTTCATTTCATTCATTTCATCTTGTCTCTGTATCACATTATAACGATGATGATGATGACATTAAGGGAATTATAGATTAAACTCCTCAATTATGATGATCTCAATTCAGAGACAAAAAAAATTGTTTGACACAAAAAAAAAGGAAGAATGTCGAAAGAAATTACATCAAAATTCCATTGTTTATCTCAAACTAGATTGAATCGCTCAAGACGACAATGCACAGAGAATTTCGAGGGGAAACGCACAACATGCTTATAATATTTTTTCATCCCATCTACAATCTTGCTGTTGTATAAGAAAAAAATCACATAAAACGATGATGATGATGGAAATGAAATTCATTTTTCTTTCTGGTCACGAAATTTCTTTTCACAAGATATCGCGCGATTGTTCTTTGAGCTTCTTATTTGCTGACTTTTTTTCATAAAAATTTTTTATTCTTTTTTTTCATGAGGATGGAACGCTTTTACGAGTGGAATTAAGAACAATTGTGATAATGATTATTAGGATTTGCAGGAAATTAGCAGCTTAAAGTTGTGAAGAGACTGGAAAAGCTGAAGTTTTTTTGGACGGAGAAAAAATTTTGAAGGAAATAATTTTGTGAGGAATTAATATAAAAAAAATTCAATTAAGAAATTCTTGACTTTCTTTGGTGCTGTTGGCATTGCTTTTAAAGCTGGAAAAATTTGAATTCATTTTAGGGTAGCTAGTAGCTACTAGCTCTCCGTCAATACTCTCTCCTTCTCCCATTAACTAGGGTAGCTAGTAGCTACAAGCACCTACCTAGAATCCTATTATCCTTCTTATGACAGCTTCTAGTCCTCAGCACCAATTTTCAGCGTCACATCCTCAAAACCAACTTTTTTATTCCTTTAATACTCTCTCCTTCCCCCATCAACTCCAATATTTGTGAATGAAAAACACGTCTTGATGATATTTTGTTCACTTCCTCTTCACGCTTCTTTCTTTTCCTCATCTTTTGTCTTATGCTGCATGCACAAAGCTATTCATTGCTGCAAGGAATAAGCAAAATGCAAAAAGGATTCTCATTTCACATCCAAAAGACAAATCGTTTTGTTCCTTAAACATCGCGATAAGCAGCAACATTGAGATCTCGATCTATGAGCGGCACGAGTGAAATTTATGACTTCAAATCAGGAAAGAAAATTGCTAAAAAAATCTTTTGCTATTTTTATTTTATTTTCCATGTCACTCAAATGCCAATCAAGTGTCAAATAAATGCGAATTGAATCACATTGCGAACACATGTCTTGTGCCTTAATTTTACTGTCAGACCGACTTGAATGTTGTTGTGTTTTTTTATCCTATTCCGTCGTTTACATTCCACATTTTGTGGATGAAGGAAGTCAAGTCGCATTTATTATTGATTTTCGTTTAAAGAAATGAGCAGCAAATCGTGTCATTGGGGAAATTTTGTGAGATTTTTGTGATTATTGGAAGCATTTTTGATGGGATTTATGATTTTGGGGGAGTTGAAGTTTTTGAGAAGAGTTTTGGATGTCTTGCAGCGATTTAGAATGATTTTACGATTTTTAAGGATGATAAATTTAAGTTGAGGGGCAAAAAGGGAGGACCTTAAGAGTTAAAATGGCTGTCATGCGGCTCCTACTTGGTTCTTGCCTTTACAGCATGGCTAAGGTCTAAGAATGAGTCCTAAGGAACTAGAGCTAAGTCTTTTAACTTCTTTATCTTTAGGAAAATTCCCTTAACGATACAACAGCCTTTAAAGCACCACAAATCTTGTCCAAATCAATCTTCCACTCCAAAATCCTCACAAGGACATCACCATCCAACAGAATCGATTGCAAAATCTTCAGGGAAAACTGCAAAATGGCATTAAAAATTCACAACTCTTAATGTACTTGTTGTACAAATAATTTCTGCATCACTGCATCATTCGAATGTCGACTAATTGAAATGGAAGAGGATGTAAAGTGAAGAATATGAAAATTCCCTATGGATATGCTTCACTTTTGACTTTCGCTGTGCAGTGACTGTTTTTCCTTTCTTTTGATCCACGGGATGGAAATTTTATTAAAGAAAGTAAATTCTTGATTGTTGGGATGGAATGCATTATAGCAGCCAACAAGGATGTATGAAAATCCACTTGACATTCCTAACATCCTAGAATGAATAGAGATGAATAACATTCGCAAACTAGATGCTGATTTGAACTTAATTATAATTTTCCGATTTCATAATTATAATGCAAATTATACCAAACATTATACGAACAGAGTACATCCAACATCAGTAATTTAATCATGGAAATCTGGGTCATGACTCATGAGATTTGAAAGGAAATTAATTTCATCATAATTGTTCCAACTAAATGAAGTAATTAAGGAACAATTAAATGGTAATTACAACATAGTTCAGGAATATTAAAATCTTTAGAGTAGACCAATTATTCATCATCCTACAGCATGCACAGATCCGACCTTGGACTGGTTTTGAATTATTATTCCGTATCCTATTTCATGATCTTTTTTTGTGAGCCATAAATGCTCGAATATCATTGAATTTTTAAGAAAATTCGATGAAATTGGGGTCGGTTATAAATGATGTCAACCATTAAAGGGGTCATTTGAATGTTTTGTAACATAAGCTGCATAGCCAAGGCGGGAAGTTAAAGGACAAACTTAATTAGCACACAACATCAGAGCCTTCAAAAGCTAGATTTCATTAAGTAACAAACCTAAATTCCAAAAATAAACCAGCATCTTGCAATTCAATATTTTGGGCTATCATGAAATTTTATATTTTATTTATAAATGATTTATGGGCCATAAAAATCTTAAATTTCAGCACAAAAGTCCCATCATCTCTAGCTCCTGACTACAAACATCCTTAATCCTACTTTATCTTTCACATTTCCTTACCAAAAAAAGAAATCAAAAATTCCATCATCCAAATTAAAGTCAATCTAAAGTCACGAACCACCTCTCCACATGCATGCATACATATCACAATCAAAAAAGCAACAAAAACCCCATCAGCATCATCAGTAGTCACAGAAAATAACAGCAGTCGGTATCAAATATAAAAAAGAGATAATTCACTTATTGCCATGTATAAGACAGCATGTATGAAGCTCATTGTTGCCTTGTACGTATCGCTTACTCGACATTAAGTTGATTTCTTTCCATTTTTTAATGTCATTGTATCGCACATATAGCACAGCACGGTATGAATGGGGAATTCATGCGATACTCCCTCATATCATCAATTTTAGAGTTAGAATTGAAAAAGCATTTTTTTCTTCGATGAATATCTATGGTTGGGTGGGGTTGATAGAGTAAAGCGATACAGTCATCATCATCATCTACTTCTATTACTATTCTGTTGCTCTATCACTCGTACACTCGTTGAGATTTTCTTCTATTCTCGTTATATTCAAGTCACAAAATTAAGATTGTTTATTTTGTCGTAATTGAAGTTCATTTGTCTCTCACTCGCATTGTGAGGAATGGCAACAAAATAAGAGGAAAACGATGAAGATTTCTTTTATTCTGTTCTCATTTTAAAATTGCTTCACATATTATATGACAAACAATTTACTTTTGTTTTGTTTTTCTGCTGCTATCGAGTACTAGGTGTGGAGGATGTCAGGCATGACTGTTTTCATCAGGTGGTGTCCAATGGTACAGACTTGAAGTGATCTAAATATTGAAAACTTTCCCGATCGGCACACATTGAAATTCAGGTTCGGGTTGATAGCCGCTTGGAAGCAACTTCCATTGCCACGACATTTCATTGTGTGCTAATCGGGTTTGGATGATTCAGAGAGTCTAAGACAACCGATTCCTTGGCATCATCAGCCCTAATGCTCCACTAGATTCAAAACCAACATTTTTGAATAGATTTAAGCAAGTTTAAGCTTCAAATACATACATTCGTATCTCAATGTATTCCTACAACTTTAAAATCCCTCTTAATCCACAACACACATCGCATCCAAACTATACATTCGCTTAACAAACAAAACTTGCTTATTTCATTGTATCCTCATGTTGTAAAATGAGATGAATGTCTCACTTAAGTCTTCAATGAGATTTCATTTAGTCACTCGAGATGAGACACAAAAATTCCTTTTCTTCCTTCCATTCATTTCCTTCTTTTTGATTTCTTATTCAGATATTTCAATCTTGAGTGATATTTCATGTTTAAAATGAATACAAAATGAGCATGAAATTAAATTGGAGACAATTTTTTTTATACTCATCGTTGAATTTCAACATCGTAGGTTGGATAAATTGAAAATGAGAATTGTTTGCATGAGAAGAAAAAAGTCTTTTTGAGATTTTAATTATTAAAGAGATTTAAATGAGAATGATGAATGGAATTTTGAATGAATGGGAAATAATTGAGATTATCTTGTTGATGGATGTTTTTGGATGAAGGAAGATTGTCTTTGTTTTCTTTGAGATTCTTGAAGATTTTCAATCAAGATGAGATTAAAATTATTGAGAATTCTATCAAATTCCATCAGTTCCCGCCAAAATTTGGATTGAGAATTTCAAATCAAAACATTTTTCCATTGTTTGGTTTTCCCTTGATTATAATTGAAGTATTTGATCTTCTTTGTTGTTGAAAAAGATCAGTTTGAAGTAAATTTGGAACTAATCATTTAAGTTTTGATCATTTTTTTTTTCATTTTTGTTCATATTTTCATAATTTTTGATAGTTTTGTTCAATTTTGATAATTTTGAATAATTTACATCAATTTTAATTTCTTTTGATCATTTTTGGCTGTTTTTGATTCTTTTTGACTATTTATGACCAATTTTGATCAATTTTAATCAACTTTGATCAATTTTCATCCTTAATTTGCCATATTCAGCCAACATATCATAAATAACACACAATCTGCCCCAATAATCTCCAAATTCCAAGCAAAGTTCACTGATTTCATCCCTAAAAAGACTTTTCATTCAAAATATTGTCCTTAATTCAATTTTCGCATCCCTTTCTGCATCAATTGAAGCGAAAAATTTGTTCATAAAATTACCGTTAAAGATAACATTCATGAACATAATTTTATTCACTTTTTTCATTACATTTCCCTCAAGAAAAGACACTTTAATCCCATCTCTCTCCGTATATGTATAGAAACTTTTGTGTTCAACCTTTTCATGTCAGAAAGTCACAAAATATATAAATTATCTACCCTTTAATCTCGAAATAAAAGTAAAGTAAAGTCGGGTAATCGTTTGTCTCATGATGTGAAAGAAGAAGGAAAATTCTAGAAAAATTGTCAAAGTGAATAAAAACTTATCCAAGTGAAAGAAGATGTTTGTATTAATTATCGCAAAAGTCCTTTCGTAATCTTCATAATTTAATCTTCTGAATTCTTCAAGGAACGTATAAAAAAAAGCTTCCATAAACTTTCCGTCATGTGTAAAGAGTCAAACCAGCAGAAGAAAAGTTTTTGGAGAAACTTTATCTTTTCGAATGTTCGTCTTATGCTAGCTAGCTAGCTGTTCATACTGAAAATACTGAAAAAATTAGAAGAAGAAAAACAGGAGAAGTGAAGCGTGCTGTAATAATTTCTTACTTTTTCCCATCATCCCATGTGCAGCACAACACATTGAGTGAGTGCCAGATATCCAACCAATGCTTCTGCTTTTACAAAGTTTTCCATATTTTTTTTTCTTTGTCGATTTTTCACTTGTTTTTTGTGAGAGGGTTTTTGGTGGTTATGAATTTTGAGGGTCCTATATGAGCAATTTTGGCTGGCTGACTGAAAGTTTTTAAAGTTTTTCTTCAAACGGTGTGAAGTTGTATTTTAAATGAAGCAGAATTTTAGTCCATTGTAGCTAGGTTTAGTCAAGTATTGTTCAAAGCTAGTAGCTTCTATGCTAGTAGCTTCATAGCTGGTAGCTTCATAGCTGGTAGCTTCATAGCTGGTAGCTTCATAGCTAGTAGCTTCATAGCTGGTAGCTTCATAGCTGGTAGCTTCAATGCTAGTAGCTTCATAGCTATTAGCTTCAATGCTAGTAGCTTCATAGCTGGTAGCTTCATAGCTAGTAGCTTCATAGCTAGTAGCTTCAATGCTAGTAGCTTCATAGCTGGTAGCTTCATAGCTAGTAGCTTCAATGCTAGTAACTTAATAGCTAGGAGCTCCATAGCTAGTAGCTTCAAAGCTAGTAGCTTCAAAGCTAGTAGCTTCATAGCTGGTAGCTTCATAGCTAGCAGTTTCATAGCTAGTAACTTGATAGCTAGGAGCTTCATAGCTAGTAGCTTCAAAGCTAGTAGCTTCAAAGCTGGTAGCTTCATAGCTGGTAGCTTCATAGCTAGTAGCTTCAATGCTAGTAGCTTCAAAGCTGGTAGCTTCATTTCTAGCAGTTTCATAGCTAGTAGCTTCATAGCTAGTAGCTTCATAGCTAGTAGCTTCAAAGCTAGTAGCTTCATAGCTGGTAGCTTCATAGCCAGCAGTTTCAATGCTAGTAACTTAATAGCTAGGAGCTTCATAGCTAGTAGCTTCATAGCTGGTAGCTTCATAGCTAGTAGCTTCAATGCTAGTAGCTTCAAAGCTGGTAGCTTCATAGCTAGCAGTTTCATAGCTAGTAGCTTCATAGCTAGTAGCTTCATAGCTAGTAGCTTCAAAGCTAGTAGCTTCATAGCTGGTAGCTTCATAGCCAGCAGCTTCATAGCTAGTAACTTGATAGCTAGGAGCTTCAAAGCTAGTAGTTTATAGCACATCTAGTTAAGAGACAACATAAGTTTATTGCGTCTTATCCTTTAAATCACTCGAGTCCCCCCAAACTTCCACACAACTGTCTTTCTTTCTTTTTAAAAATTTTCCATGGAAAAAAAAATATCTTCGTTTTTTTTACAAATTTTATGTGTTTTATCTCTCATAACGACTTGTGCAGCTGTTTCATATTCTTTTGGGTCGTTAAATTTATTCCCTCTATAATAATTTTTCTCCCTTTTTTACTTCCTCTCTCCTTAAAAATAAAAAGATGAAAAAAGACTGAGTGAAAGATGCTTAATCGATTCATTTTAAAGGCACAAGCACATCATCATTAGTCTCATTTGCTACTCTTTGTTTTATGCATAAAATATTTATGACTTTTAATAGGCACGAAAAAAGTTCTCTAAAAACGAGTGTTATGTTGATGATATGGAACGTGTCTTGTCCTTTTTATGTGATGTGCTTTAGCAGCTTGAATGGGATTTGAAGGGTGCAGTTTGTAAGATTTGAAAGCTCAAAGCTTTGTTTACAATATTTTGGACCATTCTACAGCTATTGCTACCTAATCTTACATTTATTGGACACTATTCAAGCAACATCCATCCATTTGCCAATTCAGCTACAACACGAATGAAAGTGAAAGAAATTTTTATGTCCAAAACTTTTCTAATTTACTTTAATGCTTCAAACTTTCTTCATTTTCATGTACTTCATCTAAAAAAAAATTCCTTTTTTTATGTCATTGATGGTTCCATGATTTATGCTGTATAGTCATTCTCTCATAGATGCTTAATTATCTTGTTAATTTTTCGTTTCTCTTTTTACTTCCCCTAATTGATTGAATTGTTGGATGAGGGAAAAAGTTTTGTTACATCTCGAAGCTAGAAAACTTTTTATTCTGAAGACCAATAATTTTGATTGAATAATATTTTCGTTTTCATTTTCATTTTCTGTGGCTAAATTGGCAAAATAATATAACGAGGAAGAAAAAGAAGTTACAAAGTTAGATTTGCTTTTCTGAACTAAATTAGATTGAAGGAAGTTTTTGATGTGAATCTTTGATGGAATAATGACGCATTTTTGATTTTGGGAAGTCGACTAGCTTTTCTTTAATAAATAGTCGTCGTTTCTTGTTTTAGTTTCACTTTTGGAATGGTTGTTGCTCTGGTTTTGGCTTTAACAAGTCAAGCTTTACATTTTGAATTCAGATGAGGTGTTGCTCCACATTTTATGAGTTTTAATAAAGCGTTTGCTCTCATTTTGAATTTTAATAAAGCGTTGCCTCTCATTTTGAATTTTAATAAAACGTTGCCTCTCATTTTGAATTTTAATAAAGCGTTGCTTCAAATTTTGAATTTTAACAAAGCGTTGCTTCACATTTTGAATTCTGATAAAGCTTTGCTTGATATTTTGAATGTCAACAAAGTGTTGATTCGTTTTTTCTTTTGATAAGGCGTTGCTTTACATTTTTACGCTAGTAAGTTCAATTTTGACTTCAAATAACGCTTGACATAGTCACTAAGACACTCCAGTTCCAAATCTTCCATGCCTCAAAAAAGCAGTCATTACTCAAAATAGCAGTTATCGGTTGTTATCATTTCTGTTGGAAATGAAAAAGTTTGTTGCTTGTTATTGACTTGTGTCGTTGTCTAAGTAAAGTAAAAACTTTCCTTCTACTTAATGTCAATATGATGTTTTCGATATCATTTCCTAAAGGAAACATAACTTTATGATTTTTATGATACAATTTTCCCTCTCAAAATTAACAGGTATAACGTAGTAAAAGCAACAGCATCTGCTAGATTTTCAATGTTGAACAAAATTTCACCGTTCACTATTTTCGATAATAAATGAATGAATTGAAATCGTAAAATTACTTGCTGTATTGATTCCATTTGCTCAAGAAGAAAAAAAAGGAGCAAAATCCAATTTTTCTGTACCTTTTCAATTCAATGCTGTTGTTATTTACTAAAATAATCTTGCTCATTTTTCAGTTGCTTTCTTATTCTTTTTTTCAGTTGAGGATATTTTTGAGGGTGGAGGGTATTGTTTGGATGTTGTCTGAAGCTCAAGGGAGATTGTTGAGTGTTTGGAAGTTGTTTTGAAGCTGGATTCATGGAATTTGTGAATATTTTAATTTTTTTATATTTTTGGCGCAAAAATTCAAATTCAAAAAATACGTTAAAAAGTAAAGATTCAAAAATTCAAGATAAAGCATGCGACTTGGCATTAAAGTTAATTTAGGTACCTCAAAATAAAACTATGCGCTCCATAACGTACGTTTAAATGCATTTCCAACCTGTTTCGTTTTCATCCAGTCCTTCTTCTTCTGCTCACTGTCCCTGTTGGCATTTACCAAATACGAATGTTACAATCCACTCTTTAAGGTAGATGGTATGGGAAAATAAAAAGTTGTTTGGGACATTCAAGGAAAGAAGCAGCAGCAAAAAAAAAAAGAGTAAAAAAAAGTTTCCTCTACCTTCATCTAATGCCTTAAAAAGGGTTTCCATACCCCGACAAGTTGAAAACTTTTATCCATTCATTGAATGACATTTAAGAACGGAACCATTTTCAGCTTGATTTATTGCTTTCCATCACTTTTTTTCCTTCCTTTTTTTTGCCATGCAACAAAAAAAGAATTTTTTTTTGCTTCCTGAAAAAGTTGATAAAAAGTAGCAAGAAAGGAAAAGGAAATTTTTTAATTCCTTCAACTGCATAAATCTCTTACTTAATTATTGTAAATTCATTTAGGAAAAAAACTTTTTTTTTGTGCTTGCAATCAGCAGAGATTACTGAAGCTAATTTAATCTTTAATTATCCATTTGAAGAATTCTCGAGAGCTGAAATGGGATGAGTTGAGATGTGAATGAGATAAACTCTTCCTGGGCGAGAATAGTGTCTTGAATTCGTGGCTGGATTGGATTGTGTAGAAAATGTTCATTCTCAATTTTTCACATCCGTTAACATTTGAATTTTCAAAACCATTAAAATTTGAATTTTTCAAAAACAGTAAAATTTGAATTTTTCGTATTCGTTAAAATTTGAATTTTCAAAAACAGTCAAAGTTTAGATTTTTCAATTTTAGAAATTTTTGAAATCGTTAAAACTTGAATTTTTCAAAACCGTTTAAATTTAAATTTTTCAATGCCGTTAAAATTTTAACATTATAAAACCAGTAAAATTTAACATTAACAAATAAATGATTTGAAAAATCCAAATTATAAACAAAGTGCTTAATTCAAATTAAAAATCCTTTCCATTTCTTCCTCACTTATTATTCCCCGCCATCCAAGCACATTGTTGTTCACAAAATTAATTATGGAAATTGGATTTTGCAATAAACAGCAAAGGCGAACATTAAAATTATTTTTTTTTCACTTCTGTTTCTTTCATCTTCGCAATGGATTTAATTAGCTGAAAAAAAATTTAATTAAGAATTAGTGTTGAACAGTTCTTTTAATAAGTTTCAGTTTATCGCTTTTGTTTGTTGGCAGTGAGACGTAATAAGTCAGACATTAAGGCATTGTAAACATAACAATTATTGCTGGGATATTTTGCTATGAATGAAGTTATAAGCTTTGATCAAAACTTCAATTTTAATGTTGATAAGGCTAAGTTTAAGGAGCTTTAGTCATCAAATTCCAATTGTCTTTATATCCACAACTTTATTCACATTTGACATTTTCAACACATTTTTTTCTTTCGGTCAAAAAATACAACCACAGACAGTGAAGTAAGCAACATGACCGTATATCCAATTGCAAATAAAAAGTACACATTTGGAATGTTGCAGTCATTATTGAAGAACGTGTAAAACTCATGAGCTGATGCTGTCAAGAATTGGAATGCCTGGAACAGAATCTGAACCTATAATTGTCAACAAAAGTATGCAAAACTTACCATATAAGCCACTCCAATTTGAGCTTTATATCGAATCCATTTTGGTGTAAAATAAGCAACATAAAGTTTCATAGGAAACATTATAATGTGAGCTAATGAGTTTACAAACATGTAAAATAGTGGCTGACCAGATGGAAAATAATTGATTGTGTGCCAAATTATAAATGGATACATAAAGTGATGCACTAGAGCGAAGATTTCAAAGCTAGTGTCATTTTTCTTTAACTCTATTAAGACATTCTCAATGATGAATATAAATTTTGTAATGAAGTAGAAGTAGCTTGTGTTGACTGCCTAGAATGGATAAAAGTGGTCAATTGGATAATAGATAATGATTGGGACCAGGCGAGTAGCCAGAAGGGTCTTGTCACCCTCTTAAACATTTTAGGTCGTGCTTTCGCTGTGGTTCAAAACGTTAAAGGAAGGACAAGACCCTCCTGGCCACGCCCCTGATTAGGACCATTTGCAAATGATGTCAAATAATAAATGGAAGCTCTACAGCTAGTCACACAATCCCTAAAGTTAAATCTACACAATTGTCAACTTTTTAATGTTTAGCAAAGCAATTCGATGTCTAAGATTGATCTAATCAGCATTTCCTCATAAACTTGTGAATCCTAGACATCATCTTTACAGTTTAGGAATGTTTCTATCCTCATCCAGGATATGATCTGACTTTAAAACAATCACCAAAGTAACAAAGACTTACTTCTAAAGCTAATGGAGAATCACTTGTGTCAATCTTCTCACACTTCCAGCTATAATGAAAAACATAGAATTTTGAACTCTTTATGAAGAAATAGACTGAAATGGCTGAATAGACGAAATTCATAAAAAGTTCGAAATTTTTCAATCTGAATGGTTCTCGATTTTTCATAAACTTCCTTAAAATGACTGTTAGGAACAATATTAATGTTGTTGAAATTATAAGAATTGGAGCTGGATCGCCCATTAGTAATTTGTCACGGATTCGTGGATCAGCTCTTGTGTAAAATATTTCATGATAAAGTTTTGAATTGGAACTGAGAGCTAAAAATAAGAAAATAAATTTGGAATGAAATCAATTCGTTTAGGCAAAAGAGGCGTTCACTTATGACGTGTTCAGGGGGGGGTGGGGGGGTCAAGAGTAGAACAATACAAATTCTGGAAATATATTGTTCTTTTTTGAAATGTGACCGTTAATTTCAGACGTCTTAAGTAAACGACCCTCAATGTTAATGAAGCTTGATTTCTTTTTAATTTGAATTATTGCTGCGATATGCTACATGATTGTAAAATAAAGAAGTAATTTGATTCGCAACTTACTTATGAACACAAAATTTATTACAAAATATCCAAACAAGATCTTCATTATTTCATGCGTTCAACTTTATTGATCAACTTAAACTGCTTATTTCAGAATAAATTAAACAGAATTGTTGTGTGTAACTTAAAACCAGTAATATAAGCTTAATCGATGTTTTCTGGCTAAAACGCAGTTCTTTATTGAAGTTTTCTGTAAGTATCGAGCAATAGAAGCCTAAACTAGTTCAGAAGTCATCATAACAGATGCGAACGGGCAAAAACAACGCATTTTCCTCGCGTAGATCAATAAATTCATGTACAAGCCATGCTCAGAACTAAAAGCCAAAATCTAGTAGAGTTTTAAACATGTCTCGAACTAGAAATCTAGATCCAGTAGAGTTTAAGACATGACTGGAACTAGAAATCTAGATCCAGTTGAGTTTTTGACATGTCTGGAACTAGAAATCTAGATCCAGTAGAGTTTTAAACATGTCTGGAAATAGAAATCTAGATCCAGTAGAGTTTCAGACATGTCTGGAACTTGAAATCTAGATCCAGTAGAGTTTCAGACATGTCTGGAACTAGAAATCTAGATCCAGTAGAGTTTTAAACATGTCTGGAAATGGAAACTTAGATCCAGTAGAGTTTCAGACATGTCTGGAACTAGAAATCTAGATCCAGTAGAGTTTTAAAAATGGATGGAACTAGAAATCTAGATCCATTAGAGTTTCAGGCATGTCAGGAACTAGAAATCTAGATCCAGTAGAGTTTAAGACATGACTGGAACTAGAAATCTAGATCCAGTAGAGTTTTAAACATGTCTGGAAATAGAAATCTAGATTCAGTAGAGTTTCAGACATGTCTGGAACTAGAAATCTAGATCCAGTAAAGTTTTAAACATGTCTGGAACTAGAAATCTAGATCCAGTAGAGTTTCAGACATGTCTAGAACTAGAAATCTAGATCCAGTAGAGTTTTAGACATGTCTAAAAACCAACTGAGTCAACCCAGAAGACCTTGAAACACATTTGAAATAAATGTGTTTTTTTTTGGAATTTTATTTGTTTTTGAGTCGATCTGTTTCTTTTAAGTTCAGCTTATTTTTGAATGAACCCAACCTCACTCCTTTCTCTAACGTATGTAATGATATTAGTCGTCTTTCGAGTAATTGTTTAACTTCCATAAAAAATTGAATTTTTCTCAAAATTGAAATTGCAAAGAAAAACGTGTTCTTTCAAGTGGAAAATTTATGCAGCGCATTTCCATTTCTCTTTCAATTCTCCACTCCCAAATTCAACAATGTTTATCCAAAATAATATGTATTCTCTTTCCCTTTATGCTGCTCATTCAACCTGCAAAATGTTTTTCTTTCTTCATCAACAAAGAAAAATAAAAGCAGTAGCAATAAAAACAAAAGATGAGAGTTACAGAAGCAGCTGCTTGCATTTCCACGATATAAATTTTCCAGGTTTTTTAACAACCAAACGAGCGACAGAAGGCAAAGCAATATTGTTAGGTAAAAAGATGTAAAAGATGAGAATAAAAAACGATCATCGGTAACAAATGTTTGGAAATAAATGGTTGTTTTTGGACTCGGGTGGAGTTTGCAGAAGTTGTGGATGATTGTTAGAAGTGCTGGGTTTAGTTTGTAGAGTAAACTGTGAGAATTGCTCAATTCTGGATTATTTAAATTGCTTTATTTCATAAGACTGGGGGTCGTTCATTTATGACGTCCGAAATTAACGGTCATTTTTCAAAAAAAAAGAATGGATTTTCAGGAATTTCTATTGTTCTTTTCTTGCTGACCCCCCCCCCCCCCCCTGGACGTCATTAGTGAACAGCCCCCTGTGGATGTTAAACTTTTTGGATGACTAAGGTTTGTATTGAAGCTATCCTAGGCACCTACTCTAGTCACAGTTAACTCTATCTATGACCCAAAATAAAGGATATAGATTTTCGATCCTACAATGCTCTGTTATTGTCTACAGACCCGAGTAGCTTCTAAAAACTAGCCTTTTAAGTATTAATAAGTTAAATATGCAGTACGTGCAGGTTATGTCGCAAGACTTCCTTATTCTTGAGGCGCTGCTTCACCTGGTAGCGACAGTCAATACTGACTTCACACAAGTCTTTATTATCCTTTTTAAGGACGGCAATTTTTATATGAGAAAAGCAATATCCACCTCCACAAAATGATCCAAAATCGCTTCTTCCAAGCCAAAAACAAAACAAAAATGAAGCGAAACGTAAAACTTTTCTTATTTTTTTTTTCTCCAAATGTGCAAATCCCATTTAATGTTCTCATTCACATAAAAAACTTTTCACTTAAAATGATTTGGAAGAAGGAGGAAAGAATATGCCACAGCATGCACATATTTATTACTCAAGCTTACACATCTCATGTGCGAATGAATTTCATTTTTAAAGGGAATAAATGGAATGGAAATTATGCGTATGTATGAATTGTTTTCTCATCTTATGAGGCAATGCAGCATTTATGTCTTTTACTTTTCATTTGCATTATAATTTCAGCAAATACGGCACTTCTATTGTGTCATAAAAAAAATTTCACACCTGATTTTACATTTTTTATTTATTCAAGTGAAGCACAAAAAAAAAATAATCAGGAAGATTAAAAAATTTTTCTTTCTCATCAAATGCGAGATTGGCGTGTTTTATGGATTAGGGATGTGATTTTTTCGGGAACTGGAGTTGAGGTTGACGGGGTTACGTGGTAAAATGAGGAATAATTGGATGTTGGTGGGTCGTGTTGCAAGCTAGTTCGATTTCTGTGTTGTCAGAGTGTAATGCAATGCTAGCGACATACTAAGAAGTTACTTAAAGACTAGAGTCGACACTAAGACACAGTATGAACTTTAAGGTTTAAGACTTAAGAGCCACAATTGGCCTAGACCAGGCGCGTAGCCACGAGGGTCTTGACCCCCCTTTAAACGGTTTGAACCGCAGCGAGAGCATGGACAAAAACGCTTGAGAGGGGGACAAGACCCTCCTGGCTATGCGCCTGTTATAGACCATTCTAAATACTATGAGAATAATCTATTGAGCGGGTAAGTAGTTGCATGTCTGACATCTTGTAATCAGGACATATAATGTGCAAGCATAAATCCATACAACGATCCTTAGATGCGACACCAACGAAAGCATCATCATGAGCACCAGAACCCCTACACACATCACACGATGAAAATATTTCCGACATGAAAAGCATCTTCGCATATTGTTTCAACATTTATTCCACAATTTTTTATGTATTTTTATGCACATTACGTTCAATGTATAATAAATGAAGGTAGAGTGCTTGTCGCAAGTTCGATGACGTTTTTTTCACGGCATTAGCAATAAAGTGTCATGATGGGGGAGGAAAAGAATATTTTTTACAACTTCTTCATGCATTTTTATCATCATAATCTGAAAATATGAGTGAATCACAATGTAGATAAAAATGGAATAAGGAAGGAAGTAACACACATACACACAGTAGGGTTGTCACCATCTGCAACTTTTCAATGACTTTCATCCCCAAAATATTCTCCTGACTAATCTAATAATACAAAAGAGAGAAATTTGGTGATCTTTTAACATTGAACATCCTTTACTCCTCGGTTCCTTTGAATCACTTTCCATTATTATTCATCTTTTACATGATAAATGACTATACTTTCTACCCTGTCTGTGCTGTGTGTAAGAAAAGCCATGAAAGATTAAATACTGTTGAAAGATTCATGCATAAAACATCCATTTCAGCTTTTTTTTCATCTCCTTCCCGACTTTTTCACATCCAATAACTGCAATTGAGCACAAAGGATGGAATTTTTTGCTTCTGTAAATGAATTTGAATGAATTTTTCATCTAAATAAAGGTAATTTCATA